ACTCCACTCCTGGCCAGAGGCATAGCAAGACAGGGGGAAAGTCCAAGGGGGTACCAGTGGTGTCATTAGGGGGGTGTACACTGCATCGGGTGACACTGTCAGAGGGGGTGACACCACACAGTCCAGAGATAATTCAAGACCAAACTATACAGGACTTGAGCTGCTCCGGAAAGCCGTGCCTGCTGCAGCCACGTGTCGGAGCTGCCCTCTACTGCCGCAGCTCTCGGTGTCTGCCAGGGTGACTGACCAGCCTGGAGGCGCTGCTCATGCTGCCACTGCTGCCTCCTGGATGCCCCGGAGCCCACCCATTAGCTGGCCCCCCACTCAGGATGCGTGCGCGGCGGGAAATCGTGTGAGGGCCGCGGGCGCACGCGGCTTCTCCTTTTCGTCACCCCTATCAACGTCTATTCGTCTTGAAATTGGGGGGGGGAGCACAACTTAGAGACTGCCTCTGGGCACCCGAACTGGGGAGCATGCAATTTAGAGATTGTCCCTGGGTGCTCACTACCCTTGCTATACCTGTGCTCCTGGCCTGTGATATGGTCTAGGTGTGGCCATCACTGGCGGCACATCAGCATCACCTGGGGACACTCCTCTTTCATTCCAACAAAAGTATGTATTTAATACATGCATCAGGTCCAGCCCCCTCTGTGTCCTCCCAGGGGTGGGGGTGTGTAGGACGTCACCCGTCCGGGGGTGAAGAAGTTGAATGGGAGACCCGAGCTTCCAGGTCCTCCTGGATTTGACGCTAGAAATCCTTCAGCTCACAGAGTTCCCTGTGCTGCTGGCCCCTCTGCTCCACCTCTCCATCACCTCCTCTGATTTCAAAGGCACTCAGCTGAGGACTTGTGTCTACTCAGCATCATTACTCCCCGGGCCTGGGGTCCTCAGCACCTTGTTCACAGGTTGTAATGGGTCCCGCATGTTCCTGATGTTGGTGTTGCACACGCAGGTTGTCTGCAAGACTGTCTCCAGATCCCAAGCACCCACCAGAGTACTGGGATGACGGTTCCACCCAGTGGAATTTATTTAGCCTATGAAGTCATACACACACGAGACACATACATGGTGTTGGCAATAGTGAAAGCTGTTTTAATTATTCACAGACCACATACAACAGGAAAAGTGCCATCACGGGTCTTCCCTGGCTCCAAGCTGTCCTGGTGGGATAGAAGTCTTCCACAGGGCCACACTCTTTGCACTGTGGATAGAGAACCCCGAGGACCCTCCCCCAACCACTTTTATACCCTAAAGAAAAAAAAAAACACCCCATCACCGTCGAGTCAATTCCCACTCATAATGACCCTATGGGACAGAGTGGAACTGCCCCATAGTGTTTCCAAGGAGCAACTGGTGGATTTGAACTGCTGACCTTTTGGTTAGCAGCTGTAGCTGTTAACTGCTGAGCCACCAGGGCTCTTATGTATTTCACTGCACAGAGCACAATGCATGTTTGCCTGCCTGATCACCTGAAGAGGGGGATCATCAGATACAGGGGCACCAGCCCTGCTGCTTATGTGGACAAACCATTAAGCTGCAGTGGTGGAGGTGCAGCAGTTTGTTTGGAAGCCCCAAGATGCTAGCAGGGGGAGAGACGGGAGTGATCAGAGCCCTTTGGACCACTCGAAGGGCTGCCCCCTCCCAAGGGCCTGTCCTTCCGGTGGCGGCGGGAGAGAAAGGAAGTGTTTCAGCTGCGACGCTCATCTGTCAGCTTGCGGAGGGCATCTTGTAGCTCAGGATGGTGACTCCTCTCCTTGGTTCTGTTGACAGTTGTTTTCAGATGTATGATTTCTTGTTCAAATTCTACCAGTGTCTGAGCTACATGCTTTGTCTCTTGGGAGAAGGCTTCCAGGAGGAGCTTGAGGTCTTCATAGACTGCCCACCTTTTTCTCCCTCTAACTAAAATAAGTCCCCAGAATAAAAGAGCCCCCGAAATGATTGCCAGCCAGGACACTAGCTTGAATTCCATCCCAGGCCAAAGGTCTTCAGGCCACGGCCCGGTGCTCCTCAGCTCAATGAGGTATGAGAACTGTGCTCTGCACCCCTCCGGGCGCTGGAGGGGCCTCCACCCTGGGCCGCAGACGCCCTTGAGGACCCTGCTCAGAGTTGGAACACTATGCTTCATGGTTAACCCTGCCCCGCATTGGAGACCCTGTTTCCGCCGGTGCTAGTGGCCTGGGTTCTTTCTTGTTTCCCTGCTGCCAGTGGACCAGTGGAAGGTTGAAGATGCTGGGCTGGGCTGGGGGTTCTGCAGATGGGCAGGGGTCCAGGGGATGTCCTGTGAGGCTTCCTGCTGCTCGTGGACCAGTGAAATGTTGAAGATGGTGAGCTGGGATGAGGGATCCACAAGTGGACGGGGATGCAGGGGATGTTTAGTGCGATTTCCCTGGTGCTGACGGACCAGCGGAGAGTAGAAGACAGTGGGCTTAGATAGGGGTATGCATGCAGGTGGATGGTGATCCAGGGGACATTCAGTCAGGTTTTCCTGCTGCTAGTTCAAAGTTGAAGACGGTTGACTGGGCTGGGGGTTCAACAGGTGAATGGGGATCCAGGGAACATCCAGGGATGTTTCCCTGCCACCGGTGGACGAGCAGAAGGTTGAAGATGGTGGCCTGGGATGTGGGATCCACAGGTGGGTAGGGGCCCAGCAGATGTTAACTGAGGTTCCCTGGTGGTAATGGACCACGTGAGGGTTGAAGGTGGTGGCCTGGGATGGGGATACCACAGGTGGACAGGGGTCCAGGAGATGTCTACTGAGGTTTCCCTGCTTCTGGTGGACCAGCGCAGGGTTGAAGATGGTGGGCTGGGATAGGGGGGCCGCAGGTGGGTAGGAGACCAGGGGAAGTAAACTGAGATTTCCCTGTTGCAGGCATGTAAGTGGAGGGTTGAAGAGGTGGCCTGGGATGTGGGATCCGCAGGTGGACGGGGATCCAGGGAACTTCCAGTGATGTTACTTTGCTGCCAATGGATCATCAGAAAGTTGAAGATGGTGGGCTAGGCTGGGATTTCTGCAGATGGGCAGGGGTCCAGTGGATGTCCACTGAGGTTTCCCTGCTGCTGGTGGACCATCATAGGATTGAAGATGTTGGGCTGGGATAAGAGGTCTGTAGATGGGCAGGGGTCCAGGAGACATACGGTAAGGTTACCCTGGTGGTGATGGGTAGAAGATGGTGGATGGGGATGGGAGGTTCTCAGACAGGAGGGGGTCCAGGGGGAAAATGCAAATTCACTGATGCTGGTGAATGAGTGGAAAGTTGAAGATGGTGGGCTGGGCTGGTGAGTGTGTGGACAGGAGGGAGACAGAGAACGATGAGTGTGGATTCATAGGTGCCAGTCGACAAGCAGAGGGTCGACGATGGTGGGCTGGGATAGGAGGTACTCAGGCGGGCAGGGGTCC